TTCTTTCTTTCTTTCTTTCTTTCTTTCTTTCTTTCTTTCTTTCTTTCCTTTCTTTTTCTTTCTTTCTCCCACCCTCTCTCTTTTTCTTTCTTTCTTTGCACCCGCCCCACCCCTGGGCCCCATTTTGGGCCTAGCAAGCTTCCCTGGAGCCTCAGGAGAGCCAAAATGGGGCAGGGGGTGTGGGGTGTGCCTCACCCCCATGCCCCATTTTGGGCCTAGGAGGCCTCCCTGCACTTACATGGGAGCCAGAACCAGGTGCGTGGAGATTCCTGAGAGGGGCGGGGTGGGGCCAGCGGGTCTTCGGAACTACTGGTTCGCTGAACTGGATGTAAAATTAACATTTGGTTTGCCCGAACTGGCCCAAACCAGCTGAATCCCACCCCTGATCCTAACTTAATGTCATCCCTTTTCTCTGTTATTTCTTGTCCATTGAAGTCAATGGTTCAGGAAGTGGGAGCATGTGAGGAAAATCATAGTAATGAAAATAACTTGGAGTAAAGTATGATTGATTTGTCTATAGAACTTCATAAAATCACTGCAAAATGTATGGGACACAGCTAAAGCATATATTAGGGATTAGCTATAACTTTTACAGCAAAAAAGAATTTAAAAAAACATCAAATGACATTAAGGGAAGAATTTTAAAAACTTGAATTGAATTCCAGATATCCACAAAAGAAATTTAAAAAAAAACTGAATGGAAATAATAAAACATAAACTGAACTTAATAGAAAAGGAAGGATTGGTGCAACAAATAAAAAGAGCAAAACAAAACTTCTTTGAAAATGCTAATAAACCAGGAATATGGTTAGCCTACAAATTGAAAAAGGGAAAAGAAAAGAAACTGATAAGTAAACTACAAGATGTGAAAGGGAACTTAGAGTTTCAAAATGAGATAAAAAGAAAATAATTAAAGAATGTAATGAAAAGTTATATGATAAAGAAATAATTTGGAAGAAAATATAATACAATACTTGGAAAGACCTAAACTACCAAAAGTGCCTGAGAGCATTAAAGATAAATGTACACAGAAGTGTACATGTGGTGGTAGAGTATTTTAATATGCACAAAACATACCTTGTATGCCAGCAGTGTCTCTGTGTGTGTATGTATAGGTGCACAGAAATAAAATGCAGAAAGTGGGATATAGCCTTACTCATCTTCAGCTGTTTGTAAGATTGGTTGCAGCTGGAGATATCTGGAGGCAGCAAAAGTGCAGGCAAGAGTCTCCTCAGGGCCAGGAATGTGACAGTCATTCCCTTTTTTCTTCTGCTCTTCCCTGAGCTTGAGCCTGATTATCAAGCAATATCTTCTAATCTGCTGCCCTCTGAATGTTTCAGTCTATAAAACTCTTTGTTCTAATTATTATAGTGTTCCAAGGGTGATGGGAGTTGTGTTCCAATGCATTTGTGTGCCAAGTTGAGAGAAACTGCCATCCACAGAAGGACTGCAGCATACAAGGAAGGCTAAAGACACTCCAGCCTACTTTGTACTCTTCCATACCCCACAATTAGCTCCTCCATCGTCAATGTCTGGGAAATCAGCAGCGAATAAATGCTCTACTCTTATCAGTATCCTTTCAGCCCAGTCCATTGAGAGGCCTTCTTGCTGTTGGCTCCAGGATACCAGACATCCCTCTAGTCTAGCTCCTCCTGCTTCATTAGCCATGCATGATTCATTTCTGATGAACCAGACCAAATGGAGCATCATATACAAAGATGGCAAGTACGTGAGGGAAGTGGATAAAACCACTTTCCTCACATACTTAGGCTGGTTCTGCTTTAAAATGCAACTTCATTTTATCTCAGAACCTATTGTATCTCTGGGGCCTTGTTTTATCCTATCTCATTTTGACTAAATGAGTCGTTGACAAATATATTGCACCCCACACCCACATCTTTCAGGACCTCAGATTTCTTGTTTCAAGGGTGCTGCCAGAAGTGATATTCAGCAGGTTCTGACCAGTTCTGGAGAACCGGTAGTGGAAATTTTGAGTAGTTCAGAAAACCAGCAAACCAGCAGTCCCACCCACATCTATTCTCTGCCTCCCAGGTCCCAGCTGATTGGCTGGGTCTTTTTTTGTTGCGCTGCACAGGAGAACAGAGCTGGAAAGCAGGTTAGTGGGGTGGGGAGGGAATGGAGATTTTGCAGTATCCTTCCCTTGCCACGCCCACCAAGCCACGCCCACAGAACCAATACTAAAAAAAATTGAATCCCACCACTGGATGCTATCTTCTGGGTCTTTGCCAAGACAAATAAATGACTGAAGAGCAGAACATATCCATTTCCTGAACACCTGACACATGTAAATAAAAGATCAGAATCAGAATAGAGCTGGAAGGGACCCTGGGGATCTTCTAGTCCAACCTCCACTGAAGCAGGAGATCCTATACAATTTCAGACAAGTGACTGTCCACTCTCTTCTTAAAAACCTCCAGTAATGAAGCACTCACAACTTCTGAAGGCAAGCTGTTCCATTGGTTAATTGTCCTCTCTGTTAGGAAGTTTCTTCTTAATTTCAGGTTGTTTCTCTCCTTGATTAGTTTCCATCAATTGTTTCTTGTCCTGTCCTCTGGTGCCTTGGAAAATAAGCTGACCCCCTCCTCTTTGTGGCAACCTCTCAAATGCTGGAATGCTGCTATCATGTCCCCCCCTAATCCTTTCTTTTTTTTTAGACTAGCAAAATGCAAATCCTGCAACTGTTCTTCATATGCTTTAATCTCAAGGCCTTTAATCATCTTAATTGCTCTTTGCATTTTTTCAAAGGCTTAACGTCTTTTTTGTGATGTGGTGACCAAAACTGGATGCAATATTCCAGGTGTGGTCCTACTAAGGATTTATAAACTTCACATGATTTTGATTCTATGCCTCTGTTTATACAACCAAGGTTTGTATTAGCTTTTTTGGCTGCTACCACACACTGCTGGCTCATGTTTAAGTGGTCATCCACCAGTACTCCAAGGTCCCTCTCACAGTTACTGCTTTTGAGCCAGGTTTCATCTAATCCAGGGCTGTCAAACTTGCAGCCCATGGGCCGGATGCATCACCTGTTGGCCATGCCCACACCTGGATTAGCGAAGGGGGGGAAAGTCACGATACGGCATGTGATAATGCAGTGACAACACAAGTTTGACACCCCTGATCTAATCTGTACTCGTACCTTTGAAAAAGGCTCCATGATGGTGGGAAGGAAAATGTGAGAAGTGCTCACTCTTCTATATCATATATTAGAAATCTGATCCTGGTAAGCTTAGAGTCATAATTCCAGCTCATTCACACATTATATCCATATTCCTCCCTACAGGTGATGATTCTGTTGTCCAGTTGATTCCAAGCATGGGTCCTGATGTTCCTCCTTGGGATGTGGCTAATGTATCTCTGCAGGATGGACGACTGATCTTATGGGGCAGAGAGGAGGAGGTGGGAGCATCTCTGACTTTTGGAATTCAAGAAGGAGCAGGAACAGAATCTAAGCATGCTCAGAGGTTATGGGGTTGAGGGGTAGATTAATAATAATATATCAGAATAGTGAATCTACCTACAGAGTTCTCTTTTCTCTTTTAGAATCTTCTTGAGAAGCGGAAACGAACCAGCAGTTCTGTTTCAGAGAATAACTCAACATTCCAATCAGATAAAGAGAATAGTGAGTGTTGTCTCTTACACACCCATATTCCTAGGCTAAATATGTGACCAGCTTACTGGAAATGAAGAAGGGGTGGCTGAATTTAATTTCAACTTGTTCCCTCTCATTCACCCTATTATTGATATCAAGTCTTTCTTAAGCGTATTCACTGTTTCCTTGGAGTTGAACAGTGAGCAGCAGGACTGCTTGGCACTCTTGCCATTTTATCTTGTTTGCAAGAATGATCCCACATTTAACTGGGATTAACACTTTAATCCCCAGAACTAGCCATTTTAGACCCTTAGTAAAGGAAGAATTTTCTGAGTATGAGAGTTTTTAAGAATAGCCTCTTTCCTGTAATTATAGTTGCTTTATCAATGAAGTTTTCAAGAAAAGCTTAGTAAACCTGTCTGAGATGATACCAGAATTAGGCTGCTGGGATTAGAAAAGCTTCAAAAGACCCTTCCAATCAGAGATGGTATTCAGCAGGTCCTGACCAGTTCTGGAGAACCGGTAGCGGAAGTTTTGAGTAGTTCAGAGAACCGGCAAATACCACCTCTGACTGGAGATTTTACAGTATCCTTCCCCTGCCATGCCCACCAAGCCACGCCCACAGAACCGGTAGTAAAAAAAAATGAATCCCACCACTGCTTCCAACCCTTTGATTCTATAATCCATTTGTCCCCCAGCTGTTTCACTGTGTTTGACTTCTATTTAATTTACTTTGTTACAGCAGAGTTTTTCATAAGAGGACAGGCTCCTGAGAAAAAGGCTTTCAAGGATGCTTCTTCAGGCACACAGCTTGGCAATGTGAAGGTACAAGAGGTGTGGGGGAGAGGGGTAGACAGGGCAAGAAAATCAACTAAAGGTACTCTCTTGATGACACCCTAGCTTCTCAGGGTCTCTCTGTGGCCCTGCTTTCCCTAGTTTAGTATTCCCAGATGTTCCAGAATCTGGAATTAAAATCCTATTCTAGGAATGCTACTCCAGAGTTGTAGCAGCTTGTCACATTATTCTTGTCCTCCCTCAGTCATTGTAGATCATTGTATCCTTCTGCTTCATCTCTCCTCCACCAAGTGCTCAGTCACTTGTATCTAGCTGCATTATCTCCAAATTTCCCACATTAAAGTAAAAATCAATGTTTGAGGCCTTGAGGGACATTCATTTGGGAAGGTGCTGTCTTTGGCTATGATACATGGCTTGGATCAATTGGTCTTAACTGCACCACAAGTATCTTGCTAAGGCATAGCCCATTTATTCTTGCTCTCTGCTGGGGAGACATTGCCTGGGTTGGCTTCTGAAAGGCTGAGAACTTTGGAAGAACACTGGGCCAAAAAATTTCTATCGCTCTTTCAGCTGTGCCCCTTAGCTTCAAAGGTAGGAAAATCCTCATAATTATTCCTTTTTCTTATCCTATTTCCAGGGAATGCTTTGGAGACGGTTCAGAGATTGGAAGGGACGGGTCCATCCTAACACTGATTCCTCAAGTGAATCTGTTGTGAACAACAGGTAGGCTCCAACAGGAATTCTCATCTTGTGCCTTATCTTGTGCACCTCTTTCTTGATTCACTTTGTTTTACTAAACATATTGGTTTAGGTGTGATGGGCTCAACCTATTCTTTATGTTTCAGTTGGTATCCTGACAGCAAGTTTGAGATATGGTTCCAAAGTGTTATTCGTCTGTTCTCTGAGTTTCCATTCATTTAATCTAGATTTCTGCAATCCGTTGCTTTCTCAGATGGGCCATATTGGTGGTGGTGGTGGGGTGTTCATGTGAAATGTACCAGTTGGGGAAACTGATAGTCTGACCCAAAACGAAAGATCTGAATATTTTATAACAGAGAAAAATATTGGAGAATTGTGCAAGAGAAAATTAAAATTTAAGACTGAAAGCATCTTTATAAAGTACTGTAACTATTATGGCATATAAAAGGTTGCTAGATCAATGTCTTCCTGATAGTTTAAAATGCCATGAAAGGATGCTATGTTTACTCTTTTATTATTACTAATTTACTGCCACCTTAAGGCAGCATGTGGCAATAGCTGTCATAGCTGTCCCCAGAACCCGTGATATTCCAGCAGTTACTTCAGCTCTGTCTTGAGCCCAAACAGTAATTTTCACAGTTTGCTTCATTTGTAACTTATCATCAGGGGCCTTGTTCTGGAATACACTTCCCATTTCTTCATCCCAAATAGGCTTCTGGGCAGGGGTGGGATTCAAATTTTTTAACAACTGGTTCTGTGGGCATGGCTTAGTTGGTGGGTGTGGCTTGGTGGTCATGTGACTGGGTGGACATGGATTGGTGGTCATGTTATTGGCTGGGTGTGGCCAACTCAACATCATTCACATCGAGGCATGCATCTCCTCACCTGGCCTCTCATGACTGTGGGGATGCTGCAACAGTCATAAGTGTGAAAAATGGTCATAAGTCACTTTTTTCAGTGCCATTGTAACTTTGAATGGTCACTCCACACAAGCAAAGTACCAGCAAAGGAGGAGAAAAAAACTCCAGAGAAGTTCCAGAGACAGGAAGTCTAGTCCTGCCAAGAATGTAATAAGTGTTAATCGAGAGGCAGTTTCTGTAAGCAACACCAGAATGTTTCCTTCCTGCCTTCCTCACAGGATTAGGCCAGTAATTTCTTTGAACTGCTTAGCATGTTAACAACCAGTTCTAGCGAATAGGTGCGAACTGGTAGAACCCCACCCCTGCTTCTGAGTTCAAAGTGTGGTCTTTGGATTTTGTGCAGGTATGCCTATGCCTTTGCTTCTAAAAATTATCCTGACAGGTCTACAAAGCAAAGGGTCACTGACTCTCTGAATTCTGAAGCAAAGCCTCCTTTCCAGGAGACGGTTTGGGAGGGTTGGGGTTGACTGTAGTAGAATCTTTTGAGTCTTTGGACAGGGCTCTTCCTCTTCTGTGTCTCACTCAATTCTAGTCTAAACCTAGCAGAAAGAGCAGGCCTACAATGACTTCCTCAGTTGATGATCTGAAAAGAATTTCTGAATAGCAACAGGTCCAGATAATGATTGTGTCAGCTTTGGAAGCCATATTAACAGAAGCTTCCACACTGCCACATTCCTGTGCCTGGGAAATTAGGATGGGGGATTTTTAGAGTATTAGTAGTTAGTAGTTCGACACACGAACATCTTTATAATGGGGTACTTGTCTACTTGAATGATGTTCTCATCTACACTGAGACAGATGGACGACCCATACCCCTAGTGCGCCAAGTACTGAAAAAACTTCTAAATCTGTACATCAAGCTGTCGAAATGTGAATTTCACCATGTGCAATTGGACTACCTGGGCTACCGAGTTTTCAATGAAGGTATAGAGATGGACTCCACCAAAGTACAAGCTGTTCTGGGTTGGCAAGCCCTTTGCACCCGCAGACAGCTACAAAGCTTTCTGGGGTTTGCAAACTTCTACCAACAATTCACCCCCTCTTTGCAAGATTAACAAACCCATGATGGACCTCCTAAAGACAGGGAGTACAGGTAGGTAGGTAAGTAGGTAGGTAGGTAGGTAGATGATAGGTAATAGATAGATAGATTGGTAAATAGGTAGGTAGGTAGGCAGGCAGGCAGGCAGATCTTTTGGATGAATGTATGGGTAGGTAGGTAGGCAGATTGGTAGATCTATATTGGTAGATAGGTAGGTAGGTAGGTAGAAAAAAAGACAGGCAGGCAGGTAGGTAGGTAGGCAGGAAGGCAGGCAGGTAGGTAGGCAGTCCTTTTGGATGGATGGATGGATGGATGGATGGATGGATGGATGGATGGATGGATGGATAGATGGATGGATGGATGGACGGACAGACAGACAGACAGAAAAAGAAGAAAGAAAGAAAGAAAGAAAGAAAGAAAGAAAGAAAGAAAGAAAGAAAGAAAGAAAGAAAGAAAGAAAGAGCGGTGGCACTTTGGGAAAGAAGAGCAAAGCCAGAGTGGGAATTGAAGTCCACACAAGTTGCCAAGGTTGAGAAAGACGGGCTGAATATATCCACCCAGCCATTCTAGTTAGAGTTTGGCATGCTGTTTGATTCCAGCTTAGTCAATAAACCATGGCTAAGATCTTCCTGCTCCTTAATGCAGCTGCCCCTCTGCCCCTTCTCCAGCCCTCTGCCCCAGTTCTTTCTTTGGCATCCGATTTTGCAATGCCAACCTCCCCGGGGCAGCGATGTGGCCGACTTGACCCTCTTTGCTTTGACCCAAGGTCCACTTCCATCGGGCCAAGCAAGGGGAGGCGCTCTGCACATGCTCAGAGACTCCCAACTTCGGGGAAGTGCTCCGCCCATCTTTATGCTCTGCCTGGGAGGAGGAAGACGTGTGGAAGCAGCCCAGACCAGCAGAGGCAGAGGGAATGATCACTTGGAAAGTAAGCAAGCAAGCAAGCGCAGGGCTCGGTCGGAAGAACTGGGCTGCAGAGGGAGGCTAGGTTCTAGGTCCGGGCTGGCCACTTAGAGCTGAACCGAACCGAGCCATGCACCTTGGAGAGCCGCAGCTGCACTCACCCACATCCTGTGCGCAAGCCCGGTTGGCTGGAGAGACAAAGGCTGGGCGGGAGCTGCGTGCTCCCTTGTTCTCCTCTGGGGAAGGGGGCCCTAATGCTGGACCACCCACCCCTTCCACTGCGCGCCTTGGGAGGATTTTGCTTTTGGGCCTTCACTGCTTCCACCGGAGAGGGCAGCCTGCAAGCTAAGGCGCCCCCTTTCCACCACCTCCCACTTCTCCCCCTCCCCACCAGGCTTGGCAAGGCGGGTACCACCTACTTTGGGAACCACTGACCTAGTCCTTCAGAGGAGCCACGATGCCAAATTGGCAGGCCACTTCGGGTTCTTAAAGACTTTACACTTAGCTCAGAGGCAATTCTGGTGGCCCAGCATAAAGAAAGACGTGGACAGTTATGTGAAGAGTTGCACCATTTGCACCACAATGAAAAAATGACCAGAAAACCCCCCGGACTGCTACAGATGGTAGCAGAATCAATGAGGCCATGGGAGGAGATCACAATGGATTTCATAGTGGAGTTACTGAAAAGGGGAGGAAACATGGTGATCTGGACTGTAATAGACTTATTTTCCAAACAGACACATTTCATACCATGCAGTGGATTACCCTCAGCCCACGAGTTAGCCAAGCTGTTTTTGAAACACATCTACAACCTACATGGAGTACCACGGAGAATTATCTCAGAGGGGTCCAGTTCACAGGCAAATTTTGGAGGGAGTTCCTGCGGACTATCGGGTCATCCCAGGGCCTTAGCTTAGCTTTTCATCCAAGTACCAATGGGGGGGGGGGGCAGAGGGATTGAATGCCATGGTAGAGCACTACCTGAGGTGCTACGTGAATTATCAGCAATCCAATTGGGTGGACCTCCTGCCTTTCGCGGAGGTTGCGTACAATAATGCTGTTCACAGTAGCATGGGACTAACCCCTTTCAAAGTAGTGAGTGGTATGGACTTCGTCCCAATGCCTGAGTATCCAAGGGAATCCCCTCTCCTCAGTCAGCCTGACTGATTGAATGTCAATGCTGAAAGCAACTTGGGAGAATGTCAAAAAAGCACTGGCAAAAGCGGCATATAGCTATAAGAGACAGGCAGACAAACACCAAGCCCCACAACAGCCATTCCAGGTGGGGGAGAAGGTCTACCTCTCCACCAAATACCTGATGTTAAGACTCCCTAGCAAGAAATTGGGGCCAAAGTTCATGGGACCATTCCCCATAGTAAAGGTCATCAACCCAGTCACGTTGCAACTGAAGTTGCCCCAATTGTTAGGGAAAATACATAGCAGCCTCTTGAAACCCATGGTGGGATCGACCCTGAGGTCCCTACCTCATTAGCCCCCAGACCCCGTGGTCATAGGAGGCCAGTGAATCCTCAATTCAAGGTGGCACAGGAGACAACTCCAATATTTAATGAAATGGAAGGGCTACCCCTTATCAGAGGCATCTTGGGTAAAGAGTAGGAACGTCCAAGCTGATTGCCTTGTGACAAGGTTCCATGCAGAAAACCCAACCAAGCCTGGGGGAGGTTCGCAATCCTGTCCTATACCTGCAATAAATTTGTTTCCTTTTTGTGTTGTACAGGTCATCTTCAAGAAGCGAGGGGAGCCAAATGTCAACTCATAAAATATTTGTATGGTCTTTTTAGAGTTGCCAACAGAAAGGGAGGGGGGAGCAGTGCAGCAGCTTGGAAATCAAAAGTGCATTCCATGAATAGTTTTCAAAGATAGTAACTAGGTGACTAAAGTTTCTGCCGCACAAAATTCTAACTGGAGAACATGACTGATTACTCTTGGCTATGGATGTGTCCCATTGGAGAATATGAATTATGATATACCCAGGTGTGGGGGAAAACCAGGGTCAAGGGTGACAATGAATTATGTGTGTCAGAGTTGACTACACCCAAGTAGTATCGGACATGTTAACTCCCAATAAATCCTTTTGAAGTTTTGGAAGTTTGGCTTGAGACTCATGATTTAATTGGGGTAACTGCTGGAATCCTGATAATGGATGGACTCATTAAAGAAAGGGTGGGAAAATACAAAGAAAGCTTTAGCAGAAGCAGCTGATGAGTATAAAAAAACCAAGCAGACAAGCACCGGTCTCTCCAATCACCTTTCCGAGTGGGAGACAAAGTGTATTTGTCAACTAAGTACCTACAATTAAGGTTACCAAGTAAAAAACTTGAACCAAAATTCCTTAGTCTTTTTCCTATAGTGAAAGTAATTAACCCTATTACTGTTCAGTTTAGCCTCCCTCGCATACTAGGGAAAATACATCCCGAAATTCCACAGCAGCCTATTAAAACCAGCCATAGGTTCTACTTTAAGACCTATACCTGCTGCTCCTCCAAAGCCTGTGGTAGTACAAGGTGAAACACATTATGAAGTTAAAAAGATTCTCGATTCTCAATTTTAAAGGGGCTGGTTACAATATGTAGTTCACTGGAAAGGATACCTTTCGTGAGAAGCTATTGGGTGAAAAGTTGGGATGTCAAGGCTGATAGATTAGTTAAACAATTTCATGATAAATTTCCTAACAAGCCAAAGTTCCTCCTGGAGGGGGGAGAAGGGGTTAAAGTGGTTTGGTGGACAATTCATTAACTCCTTATCGTGTTTTGTCTATTTTATTTTCCAGGATGTGTTGGTTTCTTCAAGGGGGGATGCCTGTCAGCTTTGGAAGCCATATTAACACCAGAAGCTTCCATGCTGCCATATTCCTGTGCCTGGGAAAATAGGAGGGGGGATTTTTAGAGTGTTAGTAGTTAGACATAATAGCATTCTTCTTTTCGATCAAGGTCATGTTATTCCTGCACCTGGAGAAGGAGTGGTTGAAGGGATGTCTCAAGTTGGGATAGATGGTGATTGGACCATGTGATGGACTGATAGGAGCAGGGTGTTAAAGTATTTGAGATTTAATAGCTGACCAGCTGCTTTAAGGCTGATGCAATGAAGCAGCTCGGTTATTGCTGCTTTAAGACTGAGGATGGGTCTCACAAGGCTTTACCACTTTAAGAAGCTGTCTATATAAAGGCAGCCATGAGAGGGCATATCTCTCTCTCCTTGTGTTCTGTCTCCATTGTGGTTCTCCATGCAGAGTAAAGAAGATTGATGCCTTGCCAGGTATTTGCCTACCACATATATGTATGTATATAGCTGTCTTGTATATAAACCACTGTTAAAAGACAAAACCTCTGTGTGCTGGGTTGTCTCACAATAGTAGTCACACTGCAAACACTCTGACACAGGGGTTGGATTTTGACTTTTGAATTACTGAGGGAAAACCCGGAACTCTCAGATTTGGGTTTTCCCAGATGGGCCAGTATGACTTTTCCAATAAAAAGAAACTTTGAGAAAATGCCTGCCCCAGAGTTTTTGGTTGGAGTTTGGTTTTGCTGGAACTCTGACAGATTGATGTTTGCAAGTGCACTGGAGTTGGACCCATTCTATTTCTTATTCTGTCCTGACCTTTCTGTTGCTTCCTACAGGGAGGCCTTGCCTGGCCGAGCTCTGACCCTGGACCTGAGCAATGAGAAAGATGTCTTGATCCGACCACTTCATAGCAGCCTTGTAGAAGAGCAGCACTGTTTTGAGGTATAGAATAATGATATATTATTTCATCACTTGATTCAGTAATGAAATAATTCTGTATTCTGAGAGTCCTGAAGATTCACCTACCTTCAGATTGAAACTCAGTCTGTTTATACTCCATTCATCCATAAAGTTGTTCTGGCTAGATGAAAGATTTCAGGAAGTTCTTGCTGCCAGAATCTATAAAAGCCTATAAAAGGCTTAACTTGTCCAGTATACCCTTTGTCACAGAGCATCTGCAGCCCAAAACATTTTGCTGCCTGAGCTGCATAAACGTACGTGCCCTCTGCTCTCTGATAGTTTTGGTAAACCGGCTTAGTCTGGTATCTCAAGATTATATTACATGAATGCCATGTGGTCATGAATCATGCAGTAAGCAGCTGAAATGCTGCTCCTTCACTTTGTTAATCCTGACAAAGGGACTGTTACCCTTGAATGATAGAACAGATCAGCCTGTCGCAGGGCATGTCTTAACTAGAGTTCTCCTCTCTTAGGTCCTGAGGGCTGGGAAACGCTACTGCTTTAGCTGTTCATCTGCTGCTGAGAGAACCCATTGGATGGAGAACTTACGTCAAGCTGTTCAGCCCAGTATGGTAAAGCAGTCTTGACTTGTACTGTTCATAAAATGGACATACTTTTCCATAGGAAATTCCTTTCACCCACACCACTTTCTTTCTCCCTATATCTTCTCCTTATAAAAAAATCTTCCTTATTTGTCTACTGCCATGGTCTCTGTTCTTATCTCAATCATTCATCCAAAGCAGAAATTCTAGTCTTTAGGACCAAAAAGTCATAAAGAGCTGGCAGTGCTTGTAAGCATTGACAGGCCTCTCCAGTCACTCCCACTTGTGTGTCTACCCACTATTCTCACCAGCAAATCCTTAATTTTGGTAGTTCATCTGCTCTGGACCTAATCCTGTTTGTTTCTTGACTTTTCTTTGTGACTTCACCTTCATATCTAAAAGTTTTGTGTATTGCCACATAGTTGTAGGAGATGACCTGGCAAGGACCTGGTTGAGCTCAAAGAAGAGTCAAACACATCATCAGTCTCGAGTCCCTTCATGCCCATAAGAGATTTAAGTCTATCGCACCTTGAATTCCATTGACTCTGATCTACCACCAATTTGCTTTGACCATTAGTAGTTCAGATTGTTAGAGAGCTTTAGTGTACAATTAACTTATTCATTTGAACTGCCTGGACTCCTGATTTCCTGCATTTAATAACAGTTTTCTTCAGTACTTATGGTAGAAGTGTGGATTTCATAGGAATTGCAGCCCAACACATCAAAAAAGGTGCCACACTGCACAAGTTGTAACTGTTGTAGTCTGCTGGAGGCCTGTGGTGCTGGCAGTGGAGTCAGACAGTGGGGAGGAACATGGGCCAGTCCTGGAGTCTAGGGAGGACTCGGATGAGGGATCTGCATCCAACACAGAGATGGAGCCAGGGCCATCTGAGAGTTATGTGCTGACTCTAGAGCCTCCAGAATCTGACATCAGCAAGGCAGAGGAACAGGGGGAGCCTGTTCCCAGTGCACACTTGTGCAGAGCTGCCAGAAGGCAAGAACAGTTAAGACAAAAGGGGTGACTTGGGAGTAAGGCTTGGCTCCTCCCATAAGACATAAAGGAAGAGCAAAGGGACATGAGCCTTTGCTGGAGCAATTTTGTTTGTTCTGATTGGTTTAAACTCTGAAGCTCCATGTTGACTTTGTGTTCCATTTGGCCTTGTGCAGCTAATTGGCAATTTAGTCATTGGCAGCATTTCAAGGGAGATAAAGGTGGGTGCTTATCAGCCTTATCCCCAAAAGACTGTGGCAGACTTCTGTTGGACTATTCACAAACTGTTTGTGAATATAATTCATAGCCATTAAAATAAAAAGAGGGTTTTGGGGACTAAGCGTGTGATTGTTACTGTCTCAGGAAGCCTTGGTCAGAACAGTAACACATCTTGTTTTGCATCCAATCCAAGCTCTTAATCTTATCCCATGCATCTATTTTCCAGGACAACTGCCAACGGATGGAACACAGGTTAAGTCTCTGGGTATATGAAGCCCGACACTTGTCACCCAGGAAGCACTACCACTGTGAAATCCAATTGGATGGGGTCCTGTATGCCCGCACAACAGCCAAGCAAGCCAGTCCCATAGGAACTCTCTTCTGGGGCGAGCACTTTGACCTCAAGACTCTTCCACCAGCTGTGGAACTACAGGTCTGCCTGGTACAGGAAGAAGAAGGGCTGTGGCCAAAGGAGAGCCACATTTCCAGTATGTCTGTTCCCCTAAAAGAGCTGGCTGCTATGCACCAGCCCTTGGAGAGATGGTACCCACTGGGCAAAGAGAAGCCAAACATGCCCACCCTTCGACTCCGAGGACGATACTGCAATTTCAAAGTGTTGCCCATTGTACAGTACAAAGAATTTGCTGAATATCTCACTTTCCATTATCGAGAGTTATGTGCTTCATTGGAGCCCAGCCTCAGTGCCAGAGACAAGGAAGAGCTGATGAGTGTCCTAGTGCGGGTCTTGCAAAGCACAGGCAAAGCCAAGGTACCATTTAGGAAACAACCTGATACCCAGATTCATCATCAGAATTTTCTTCATGCTGCTGTGTTGATTTTCCCCTCATGGGCTGTTTTATTGCTAGATCACCTGGTGTTGTGGGATTATTCTTTTAGTTGCTAAGGTGACTCTCAGGTCCACAGGAGAAAAACCTGGTATCATTTTACCCTTTCCCTAACATCCTGAGCCTGGTTGAAAGCAGAGTTTAAATATGAACACAGAACAGGATGGGATTTATTCTACTGACTCCCTTCCCATCTTCATTGCAGGATTTTCTTATTGACTTAGGTGTAGCCGAGCTGGACCGTTTTGATGACCGGGAAGCTTTGATTTTTCGTGAAAACACACTAGCCACCAAGGCCATTGATGAGTACATGAAGCTGGTGGGAAGCCCATACCTGCTGGCCACATTAAGTAAGTTAATTTAGAAACTCTGCTTTATAACACTAAGAAAAATGCAATGAGGGTTAGTGCTTATAATTGTTACATGGTACATAAGGTGATTCAAGATGGTAAGAGAAATCTATGTCTGATACCATGTTTCCCCGAAAATAAGACCCTGTCTTTTATATTTTTTTGCCACCAAAAAAGGCACCAGGTCTCATCCACTGACTAACCTCACTTGTGCGCATCACCCCTGGCCTCCTTTTAGCTGTCAAAGGCCTTCAGGAACTTCTGCAGCCGATAAGGTTTTCCTGAAGGCCTCTGCAGCCGATAACAGAGCTCCGGATCGATCCGGAGCTTTGTTATCAGCTACAAAGGCCTTCAGAGGTCTTTCCAGCCTTGCCAGCTGCAGAAGAAATGGGCTGGCAAGGCAGGTGTCAGTGTGTACAAGGCCTGGCTACATCTGTCCAAAGGTAGTAGGAGGGCAGCTCCATATCCCACATCCCCACCCTAACTTAATTTTTACCCTTGCACCCTGGATTGGGTGGGATCTTAATTAGGGCTTATTTTTGGGGGTGGGGTAGGGCTTATATTGGGCACATGTATAAAAATCAAGCTAGGACTTACTTTCAGGGTAGGTCGTATTTTTGGGGAAACAAGGTAGTAACCATCTCCCACTGCTTTGGTTCTTTACAATTTGGAGGGACCCTGAAAAATTAGCGAAATTCATCATTAGCATTGCTAGAATATGATTATCATTATGTCTTTAATATGCAATGATAGCAAGGGTGGGAGTGTATCAGTTCGGACTGGTTTGGTAGAACTGGTTGTTATGATTCTCTATAGTTTGGAAAACTGGTAAATCGGGCCTCTGGCTGGCCCCGCTCCTCTCTGCCCGCTTCTCCGCTCCCTGCCCAGTCAGTCCTTATCATGCATGCGCAACATTGTGTGCATGCGTGACACTGCTGCCTGAAACCTGCTTTTGCGCGCCTGCCAGGCCAGCCATTGCTTCCTGCCTTCCACTGCATCCCTGCCTGAACTGATCTCCCTGGGTGAGTGAGGCTCTGCAAGCCCCGGTCACCTATCTGCCACTGCTGGTCGCCTCCCCCCCACTTGCCTTTTGCCGCTGACACCGGTCACCTTTTCTCCCCCCACTTGCCTTTTGCCGCCACTGCTGGTTGCCTTTCTCCCACCAATTGCCTTCCACCGGGGAACATGTGGAAAGGCTCATATAGGCTCTGGCAATGTCAGCGGCTGCTTCTCTCACCTGATGCTCCAGCTGGGAGAGCAAGAGAGTTTCCTGGCACAGCAAAAAGCTTGCAAGTCCCCCTCCCATTGGAAACGGCTCCCGGGAAGCAGAGAAGCAGCCAGGTTGAATCCTGCTTCTCTCTGCTGCTCAGGAACCATTTCCGATGCGAGGGGGACTTGCAAGCTTTTCATTGTGCCAGGAAAAACTCTCTTGCTCTCCCAGCAAGAGCAGCAGGAAGGAACATGTGGAGAGGCTCATGTCAGCAAGGCACCCCTTGATCGAGTCTGGGACAGCTGACAGTAGCTGCAGGGAGCAGAGCCTGGAAGTCCTGATGCATCACATGTGTGGCCACATGGATGGCGGGAGGGGGAGCTGGTTCCAGAAACTCTGACACCATCAGAATTGCCATTGCCTTCCTTGCTGCCATCACCATTGTCACCTCGCTGCCACTGCATTCCCCCCCCCTCCGCAGGTATGGTGAGCGTGAGCCCTGGAACGGGTGACTGACCACCTCAACTGCTGCTCCCACCAACTTTTTTGCATGCCAAGAGTGGAGTTGAGAGAGAGCGAGAGCAGCCCTCTTGGCACAGAGAAAAGTCGTGCATCTCTCCATATTCCTCTCTCAGCGAGCAGCCTCTCGCACCATCTTTAAATTTAGCGCACTTCACAAATGAGGAGGAGGGGACGAGACTGTTTGCAGAGAAAGGAATATGGGGAGATGAGACGCATGACTTTTCTCTGCGCTGAGCTGCTTTCGCTAGTGACTCCAGACTGTTTTTCCCAGCTAAGACAAGATTATCAAGGAAGAGAAAATCACATGTAGCAGATGCCTAGCAAAATTTAGTAATTCTGCAGATTGGCTATTTACACTGAAATCAGGTGCAAGATAGTGATGGTAGGTAAATTATTGGGCAGTTTAGTTTGGTATTTATTTCAGTAGGCTGATTTTAGAAAGCTAAACAGGATCAGACCTGATTAGTACTTGGCTGGGAAGCCAACACAAAATAGGGTGTGGGAAGGAATGGGGTTGGGAAGGAAAGAAGGAAGATAGGATAAGATAACTTTTATTGTCATTTGTTTACTGTTAGTACACTGGCACACACACACACACACACACACACACACACAATCATCGCCCAATTTGAATACATAGAGGAAAGGAAGAAAGAGTATTGGATACATATGCACAAATGTGTGTGAAAAAAACTGCAAAGAAATAGGATTATTAAAAAGCAACTTCCAAACTTAGCAGTTATAGATGAGAGAGAGAAAGAAAGATGAGAAACAGAGAGAGGGAGAAAGAGAAAGAGAGATGAGAAAAAGAGAGAGAGAGAGAAAGAGAGAGAGAGATGAGAGAGAGATGAGAATACATAGTGTGTGAAAAAAAACTGCAAAGAAATAGGATTATAAAAATACAGCTTCAAATCTTAGCAGTTATAGAATGAGAGAGAGAAAGAGATATGAAAAACAGAGAGGGAGAAAGAGAGAGAGAGAGAGAGATGAGAAAGAGAGAGAAAGAAAAAAAGAAAGACAGAAAAAAAGAAAGACAGAGACGGAGATACCTGTTTAAAAGAAAATAGAAAAATGGCTCTTTGAGTGTTTAAGGTTGCAGACCCCTGGGTTAGTCAAACATCATGGTCATTAAGCGAACCTGGTGGTCATTAAGCAAATACTGGTTATTAAACAAGTCCATTTTCCCCAATGGGCATTTTTAACCGGAAACCAGAAGGAATTGTTGGAAACTGGCAAAAAATATAGAAAACCTCAGTCAAAAGACTATGTGGGATGTTGTAACTGGTCATAAGTGTGTGTGTGTGTGTGCATGCGTGCGTGCACGCGTGCGTGGCTGTCAAAACACCAAAAACAGGTCAAGTAGCTCTGGGGAGGTAAGTCATAAATTAGAACACTTCAGGGGTGGGATTCAACCAGTGTTACTACTGGTTCAATCAGAGTGCATTTTGTGGTCAGAGTGCATTACCGATTTGGTTAGAGTATGTTTCAAATGCGCACAGGTGCGCAGCGTTTGAAAATTCTCTTCTTTTCTGCTTTTTCAACCTCAGCTGTGCCACGCAAAGCAGCTGAGGTTGAAAAAGCAGGAAATAAAGGACAGCCAAGAGCACGGGCGGGTGGTTGAGCCAAACAGATGACCAAAAGGTTGTCGCACCGAACCGGTTCAGTATCTGCTGTTCTTCAGAACTACTGGTTCTATAGAACTGGGCTGAACCGGTAGCATTCCACCCCTGGAACACTTGCTAAGCAACTGACAATTAAGCGAGGACCACTTATATTTGGTTTGCCCATCACATGGCCACCTACCCTTCCCACCCCAATCACATGACCACCTAGCCACACCCAGCCAGTCACAAAGCAATGCCCAGTCAGCAAGCCACGCCCACCCAGTCACATGACCACCAAGACAAACCCACAAATTAGGCCATGCCCACAAAACCAGTTGGTAAGAAATTTGAATCCCACCCCTGAATGATAGGCTCATCAAAGAATCTGTCAATGTTTCTAACTGGAGGCAAGAAACTAAGTTAGAAATACAATTGTGGGTTGTGACCCAGAACTGTGGCTCTGCAAGCATCTATGCCATGCCAGTCACCTAATAGTAACTTATGGGGGAATGTCTCACAGGTGATATTATAATCAAGCCAAACTTTTTGGAGGATTGCTGTGAAGTGGACCCAAGCAAATGCCCTCCCCGTGACCTGGCTAGGAATCGCAACCATCTGCAACAACTCTGCAAAGAGGTCTTCCTAAGGATTGTTATGTCCAGCAGGTGCGTACTTGAGTATCAACCAGGGTGGTCAGGGAGTTTTCTCTCTTGCCACCACTGAGTGGAGGCCAGATTTGCTTTGTAGAAGGATTTCTGGGCTGCTGATTTCCCAAATGGCTGAATCAAAAGGGCCTGATCTAGGATCTTTGATGGCTCATCTAGCACACAGCCTATAGGCCCAAATGAACTAGAAAAATGGGCTGTTCTGCTAGGAATAGGTTTAGCATGTAAAGTTAAGTATAATGAGTATACATTTGCAATTTACCCTTATCTTAGTTTAAGCAGCTCACCTTCATGTGAGATTATATGAAAATGGCTTTACAGTAATAAGTTGAATTGGCTACAAGTGAGATCCTCAGATGTTTCTGAGCAAAGTCCCTAGGCTGGCTATAGGCAAATTGTGGTTGGTCACTCCATCCAGACCCAAGCATACTCTGAAACAGAATTCAATATATCCAGGCAAGGTTGTTTAGCCAGAAGACATGGCTGTAACAATTTTGTAGATCAGTGGTCACTAATATACCTTTAAGCCTAATTTCAGCCTGTCATCTTTCTCTTTGCAGTTCCTTTCCAGTTGAGCTTAGCGAGATCTTCACAGCCTGGCAAGAGGAGTGCCAGTTGCGGGGGAAGGTGGACATTGGCCAGCGACTTGTCTCTGCTTCTCTATTCTTGCGCTTCCTTTGTCCAGCCATTATGTCCCCCAGCCTTTTTGGCCTCACACAGAAATATCCCGATGACACCACCTCCCGCACCCTCACCCTGGTGGCCAAGGTTATTCAGAATCTGGCTAATTTCACCACGTAAGTAACCATGTCCCTGGTTCAAAATTCTAGACACTTGACCTCAAATACAAACTAGTGCTACAAAAAAAGATAGGACAGATAGGACAGTGGCCCAGTGGTGGGATTCATTTTTTTTTTTACTACCGGTTCTGTGGGTGTGGCTTGGTGGGCATGGCAGGGAAGGACACTGTAAAATCTCCAGTCAGAGGTGGTATTTGCCAGTTCTCCGAACTACTCAAAACTTCCACTACCAGTTCTCCAGAACTAGTCAGAACCTGCTGAATACCACCTCTGCCCTGGGCATAGGGTTGGACTAGAAGACCTTTGAGTCCCTTCCATCTTTTTGATTCTATGATTCTAGCCTGTTCTATAACAAGGAGTGCATTGATAATCAGAGCAATGACATTATATGCTTCTGTGAGCATATGCAGAAGATGCAGAAGACAGAGCAGATTTTGAAAAGGCATCTGGGGGAAACAGACTTTCCAACTATGGAACCAGGGGTGGGATTCTACCAGTTTGCACCTATTCGCTAGAACTGGTTGTTAACATGCTAAGCAGTTCGGAGAACCGGTTGTTAGAAGAAATTACTGGCCTAATCCTGAAAGGAGGCAGGAAGGAAACATTCTGGTGTTGCTTATAGAAACTGCCTCTCTGTTAACCCTTTTTACATTCTTGGCAGGACTAGACTTCCTGTCTCTGGAACCTCTCTGGAGTTTTTTCCCCCTCCTTTGCTGGTACTTTGTTTGTGTGGAGTGACCATTCAAAGTTACAATGGCACTGAAAAAAGTGACTTATGACCATTTTTCACACTTACGACTGTTGCAACATCCCCACATTCATGAGAGGCCAGGCGAGGAGATGCGTGCCTCAATGTGAGTGATATTGAGTTGGCCACACCCAGCCAATAATATGACCACCTAAGCCACGCCCACAGAACTGGTTGTTAAAAAATTTGAATCCCACCCCTGTATGGAACTATGCAAAAATATGATTATTGTTTAATTTAATGTATAACATAGCAAAGTACAATTTTAAAAAACCCTCATAACTAATATCAGTCCAAGATGTCAGAAAAACACTTTTTAAAGTGGGGATGTAGGGAAAAAAATACAAGAAAAATGATAGTCCTATTTTTCTCTCCTTTTAATGAATTGGCAATTAGGATTTTGAGGTCTCCTACCTGTTAATAATGATATAATGTACAATAATTTAAATCTGATTACCTGAATCTTTAACCATGCTAAAGTGTACTTAGCTCCATATGACTATGTTGATATTGCAGTCATAATGATATTTTTTCTTCCAGGTAATTCAGATAGATAGCCATTATTGGTCTCCATTGTCCATGAGTTTCTCTGCTCTCTTTTAAATCTATACAATTGTAGACCACCTGCTACATCCACAATTGTAGGATACAAAACAGACCTACTACATTTGTCCTTGCTTTGGGAGTTTCCCATCAACCTCTGGTTGGCACAGTACAACATTAAAGATGTGCTGAATAGCTGGGATGTTTGTTTAATCTAGCTGGGTTCTTCTTAGGCTTATAGTGGCCTTATGAGGAACAAGGTCGTGGGGGGGGGGGAGTTCCAATTGTTTTCAGTCACAGAAACTATTACTTTTTTAAAAAATCCCAGAACTCCTAATCTAGAAAATAGTGCCTGTGATTTGTGTGTGTCTGTGTGTGTGAGAGAGTGAGAACGAGTCCTGTGTTTCCAATAGAATAGAACAGAACAGAATAGAATCGAATAGAACCTTCCAACCTTCCACTCAGCTTGCTTTCAGAAGTTGTGGCAGCTTCATTGCTAGAATCTTTCAAAAAGAGACTGGACTGCCATCTGTCAAAAATGGTGTAGAGTCTACTTGGGGATGGGGGCGGGAGTTGGACTAGATGAGGACTACAAGGCCCCTTCCAACTGTTAATCTGTACCTTCTGTCTTTCTAGAGTCTCAACATCTTTTTTATAGTGTGGTAAACAAAACTGGATGCAGTACTCTAGGTGTGGCTTTATAAGGCTTTATAGAGTAATATTAGTACCTCATTTAATCTTGATTGTATCCCTCTGTTAACTAATTAAGTATACAGAGATAAGTTGTTTAGACAATGATTCTATGGCAGGGCTGGGAACCAAACTGTTCTCAGCCCAGTTCCGGGACCATCATAATGCCTGGGGAAATGAGACAAAACTTAGGTTCCTATGACCCTTTCTGCAAAACCTTACCTGTATACAAGGCCTTCAAATATTATTATGGTATTTAAGGCTGGCTCTGGGGTGTCAAACCTAAATATATATGATATTTTAGGTTTTGGCATCTATGCTGCAAGACACCATCTACTCAAGAAAAGGCAGGAGTTAAGCTGAAAGAGCAGGGAAGATCTCATGGTGCAATTATTGGACCAGAAGGCAAGAGCTGAGCAGCTTTATATTAGCCAGTTGCACTCCATTGGCAGCCTGATACAGGGGAATCCATTGACTTCCCTGGTTCAGATTAAATGGATTGTCTCAGCAGGAATTGTATAAATCCTCCATCTGGCCAGTAGGACCAGTGGCAAAAGGAATGGATCTCTGAATTCAGGGCTCAGCCATACCTCTCTCCATTACAGTGACATGGTATTTCATTTCCCATAGGTTTGGGGAAAAGGAGGCCTATATGAGTTTCATGAATGAGTTTCTTCAGCACAACTGGTATACCATGAAATCATTTCTCAGCAGTGTTTCAAGCCCTGGTAGTACCATAGCATTGAGTGCCTATAATGACTCAATTGACCTGGCCCTGGAATTGTCCATCCTTCACTCCTTGCTCTGCAACATCTTCTCCACTCTGGAACAGGTATCAGCTACTCTTGAGGGGGTTGGTTGGGAGGGAATTCTCATGATAAACAAGCCTTCCCTCTAGTGGCAAGATGCCGCACAAACTTTTTTTTGCATCACATCCACAATGGTTAGACCTGTTCATATGCAGAAACAACACAGAAACAGGTACTTCTATGGACTTTTTACTTGAAACTGAAAAAATGAAAATTTGATTTTAGGTTTTGATGATTTTTGCTATTATAGAAATGGTTTAAAATATTGGGAAATGCAAAGTTGAGGTTGTAATTTATTTGTATTTTACTGCGCTGTGTTAAGTCAGAAATCACTACCATTTTTTCTCTTTCTTTGCAATTTCTCTTTTTTTCTCAGTTCTCTAACATTTGTCTTTTTCTGTAATTTTTATCTTCTAGAGAAACTTAATAAAATCTATAAAATAAAAAGACAGAAACATGTTAAAATTTAAGGCTCAAGCCACCAACTATTGTCTCAAATCAAAGTCTTCTGGCATTGGTTTTGAGCACTTGTTGTCTGCATGTTGCACATTAAGAACTTTACTCCATACATTAATTGCAATTGCAAATGAGATCAGAGGAAGGGAAAACAGAAGGCCCAATAGTATATTGGGAAAACACCAGATCAGCATTGAGTTACAGGGGATTCATACAACAGCCTTGGGACCTAAACTAACCTTTTCCAACCAGCCATGTCATGAGAATAGAGGATAACTGAAAATGAGCCCCTACAAGAAGTCTTCTCTATAGCCTTGGGACTGTTCCAGGAATTCCATTTCTCTTCTACCCAATGTGGTTCTTGAAGAGAGGAAGATGGGTAGATGTGGGTAACTCTCCTCGACTGCCCTTTTCAGTGATGCTGACTCTGTTAGACCCTCTAAGACTTTTTTCAAGTATTTTTTTAAATGAACAGTTGACAGTCTTCAGCTGGTAGACTGCCAAAGATGTTCTTCTTCATCTGAGTAGGAGATCCATTTGCCATTAAAATCAACTGTGAAGAGAGGACTCTGCAATAAGGTTTGCAAGGGAGGGATGCAGACAAATTGTCCAAGGCATCACATACTTTTAAAAGTATGCTCAAGTTGGTAGGTGTGAATTTAAATATACAGTATAAGAAATAAGTATAGGTGTAGATGTATAAATGCAAGGGATAGAAAATAGATCAGCCTTTGGCCAAACTGAAAGCAATTTCTACCATTAATCTGGCCAAGTTCTTTATGTAGACCCTTTCTATTCTTCTATTTACAAGTGGACCCAGGAGAAACTGCAGCCTCTGCCAGCAATCCTCCAGGCCATCCAAGAGGGAACCCCTGTGCCTGTCTCCATTCTTCTTGGGCCTCACATGGAGGAGAGGTAATGAATGGCACCACCAAAGGTGACATGTGGTCCTTGGGGGTTGACAAGGAATGTTTTATCTCCTCTTTTTATCCCTTTGGGAAAGCAGTGCCCTTTAGCCTCCTTCAACTTTAGCCTCCTGCCCTATGGCCTCCTTATAGCACTAATGGAGGATGGATCTTACTTATCACTTGTTCTGAACTGTTCCCCTGTGCGCTCCTCTGCACTTGTTAGCCCAACCTTTCAAACAAAAAACAAAAACAAAAAACTACCCCATACAATCCAGTTGTATTCAAAGGTAGCCTAATTTTTTTCATCAGAAATGTGGTGTAATATCTGTAACATGTTTGGCAATTTGAAAGAAGGCAAATTCACTGCTCAAAGTACTTGTCTAACATCTGTCAGACCTGCCCCAGTCTGATCTCCTAGGGAAGTAAAATCTCAACTCCATTTGGTTGAAGTGAAAAGGTACTTTAATGCTGATTGCATTAAAGTCAAGCGGAATCTAACGTTCCCATGCACCAATACAGAGCTAATCCTTTGGTCCTCCCTAGCCCTCCCCCGATAGTCCAACAAGCAGTTTTCAAGATGGCTGTGCACATGGATGCTGCGGCTAACCACTCCACCTTTCATGTATGGTGTGTATGATTCTCTGTGTGTTTTGGATCCTTTCCTTGATTGAATCCTGTGGGGCAAAGAGCATCTATAGTCAACAAGCCTTGTTACAAATTGGACTGAAATGTGAAAAGGCTATTACGGATGATTTTATACATTCTCATAATATACCAAAGGAGGCAGCTAGGCTCCTGGGGGAGCCATGGATCACTATCACTGTAGGAAGATGCGGAGAAAGAGGAACAGGAAGAGGAAGAGAGGATGCCGTGCTGGGGTTTTCTTTAGGCTGAGTAAGTTTCCACACAAGCCTTCAATTCCAAGTATATTTCTTACCAATGCAAGATCTCTGACTAACAAAATGGATGAATTAAGGCTACAGACAAAATTCATCAAGAACTGCTGTGTTTTGCTAATCACAGAAACTTGGCTTCATTCACTCATTCCAGATGCAGCTGTTGAGCTAGAAGGCTACATAGCTCACTGGTAGGACAGGAGTAGAGATTCTGACAAGATCAAAGGAGGAGGTTTAAGCCTTTATGTGAACAAAAGCTGGTGTATCAATACAAAGACTGTAGACAGCCACTGCTTCATGGATCTGGAGTATATGACTCTTAAATGTAGACCCATATATCTTCCGCGGGAATTCAGCGTGGTTTTGATTACTGCAGTCGATGTCCCACCTGATGCCAATACTACCATAGCTTTGGGATTCTTGTATAACATTGTTAGTAATCAGCAGAATAAATATCCTGATGCTGTGCATATAATAGTGGGGGACTTTAATCAAGTTGATTTAAAAGAAGTACTCCCTACATTCTATCAGCATGTTAAGTGTGCTACTAGAGGAGCAAACATATTGGACAAAGCATATACCAACATCAAACATGGCTATAAAGTTATACAATTACCACATTTGGGACAATCAGACCATATGTCACTGCTTTTAGCACCAGCGTACATCCCTCTTAGGAGACGGGCTCTGCCTATAATAAAGACAGTGAAATCTTGGCCAGAAGATGCTTCCCAACAACTTCAGGATTGTTTTGAGAACACAAATTGGGACATCTTTTACCAGCCTGACCTAGAGGAGCACACTGCAACTGTTCTGTGCTATATCAAACACTGCATAGATACTATCACTGTGGATAAACCTATTAGGATCTATCCCAATCAGAAACCCTGGATGATCAAGGAAGTCCAGCGCCTCTTGTGTGACAGGATCAAGGCCTTTAGGTCCGGTGATGGGGCAAGATATAGTGTTGCCAGAGCTAATCTGAAGAAAGGTATTCGGAAGGCCAAGACTGAGTATAAGAGGAAGATTGAGGATAATTTTTATAGCAATAACATGAGGAAGGTGTGGCGATGGATTCAACAAATTACAAACCATCAACCGACCAATGTCATCCCTGCTGAGGGGGATGCTTCATTGGCAGAGGAACTGAATCATTTCTTTGCTCGCTTTGAAGTGGAGACATCAGAGACAGATAAAATACAACCACCAGCCAATTGCAGCCCCACCTCATGTGGAGGAACAGGAGGTGAGGAGCATTCTGAGGGCTGTAGATCCTAGAAAGGCTGCCAGTCCTGATGGTATCTCTCGCCAAGTGCTTAAAGACTGTGCTGATCAGTTGGCTGGAGTCTTCACCAGGATCTTCAATCAGCCTTTATCCCAGTCCGCTATTCCATCTTGTCTGAAGGCTTCCACCATTGTTCCGCTGGCAAAGAAGTTCCCTATCAGTAACCTCAATGATAACAGACCAGTGGCACTCACTCCTATAATCATGAAGTGCTTTGAGAAATTGGTCTGCTGGCACATCATTTCTGGTCTTCCACATACATTTGATAAACACCAGTTTGCATACAGAAAAAAATAGATCTACAGAGGATGCTTTTGCCATCACTCTTCACACTGCTCTGACTCATCTAGAACAGCAGTGGGGGCTATGTGAGGATGCTTTTTGTGGATTTTAGTTCTGCGTTTAACACAATTCTTCCACATAGACTAGTGTCTAAACTTCTGGACCTTGGGCTTTCTAATTCAGTCTGCCTTTGGATTATGGATTTCCTGTCTGGCCGCTCACAGAGGGTCAGATTAGGTAATCATATGTCTTCCGCCCTTATTCTTAACACTGGTACACCACAGGGTTGCGTGTTGAGTCCTTTACTCTATACTCTTTATGTGCATGACTGCATTCCCACTCACGCTAGTAATACTATTGCTAAATTTGCAGATAATACAACAGTGGTGGGACTTATCTCCAGGGGGATGAGTCTGCCTACCGAGATGAGGTGGACCAGTTGCTTTCGTGGTGTGGAGACAATAACTTGGTCTTCAACACCAATAAGACCAAGGAGCTTATAGTGGATTATAGAAGGAACAGATCAGACATCCAGCCCTTGCTTATCAATGGAGACTGAGTGGAGCAAGTGGCCAGTTTTAAGTTTCTGGGTGTTACCATAAAAGAGGACCTGACCTGGGGTGCTCACATTGCAGCACTGGTCAAAAGGGCCCAGCAGAGATTATACTACCTGAGACTTCACTGAATGAAAAACTGCTGGTGACCTTCTACTGCTGCACCATAGAGAGCATTTTAACTTACTGCACCTCTGTATGGTTTGCCAATTGCACAGTGGCAGATAGGAAAGCGCTCCAGAGGGTTAATGTCATTGCCCAGAAGATCATTGGTTGCCCTCCCCCTCTTTGGAACAACTTTATAGCTCACGCTGCCTTAAGAAAGTTCAAAACATTCTCGACTTCCGGTTTGAAGGGCTTCGGCGACAGACAGAAACCCGCGATCGTGCACGGTTTCTGTCTGGGCTTACCGCTGGAGCGCCCCGAGCCAGCTGGTTTCGGGGCTAAGCCACCCCGTAGAGGTGGTGAAGAGGGGGGAGACCACCAGCAGGGTCAAGGAGAGCTGCATCTCTCCTCCTCAGCTGGCCATTACTCCCTTTACCAAAGGCGGTTGCAGCGGTGGTCAGAAATGGCCACTACAAAGAAGAACTCGACCGGAAAAGAATGGGCAGGAGGAAGATAAGAAGTGAAAGTTTTGGCTGACCGGGTTAAATTGTAAAAGCAACAACCAAGATACCCTGGAATTTAAATTTACAAAAAATAACATCGCTTCCAAAGAAGAGTCGGAAGCAGTGAAGGAAAGTGAAAAGGGAAAGGTTTGGCTTTTTCTTTCTTCTCTCTCCTTCCCTATACTGACAACTAAGAGACTTAAATCAGAAATCAGAAAAATCCGCTTTGGCATCAATAGGCAATTAAGCTGAAAATAAAACAAAATGCCAAAGGGATAATAAAGATTTCTGGACATTAAAAGCTTTCTTTTTCATAGCAGGAAGGGAGAGAAAAAGAATAAGGACAGGATCTGGAAGAGGGAGGAGACTGCCTGGAATTAAAAAGAATCTACAGTAAAACTTCAACAAGACTTCTAAAAGATACATTTTAACTGAAACTTTGCAACTAAATAGTAACCCCAGGAAGAAAAAGTGAAAAAAAGAGCAAAAAAGAAACAGCTTGCATGTATTTGGATTATTTGATGATCTTTGGATTTTTGGTTATTATATTTGAATGACTAAAATCAATCGGGTGGTTGTTTAAAAATTTATACAATGGCACCACTTCTGGATGAATTGAAAATGGAACTTAAAAAGTACAAAGAAGATGCACAAGAAGGGAAGGGTTCTTTTGGCTTCGTTTTTCAATTCCTAGAAATGGAGATTTGGAACTATGAGAAACAACAAGAAAAGACTGCAAAACAAGAAGACTGGGACAAAGAAGAAGCCATCTTTAATGAACAAGCAATTTTATGTGGGGAAGAAAAAGGAAAGTGGGGGAAAGAGAATGGAGAATTTAAGACTTAAAAAAACAACCAAAGAAAAGAAAAATAATTCAAAAAATAAGTATAACACTGGAAAGCAACAGAAAGGGGGAATACAGAAGAGAGAAATAGAGGTAGAGAGACAAGGGGATAAAAAGGGGAGAGAGAAGAAGAGAGGGAAGAAGAAAAGGAAAAGAAGTTACAAAGGACTGGAGCAAGATATAGAGAAACAGGACCTATTTAGAAATAATGGGTGAAAATCTAACTGAAAAAGGGATTCTGTAAAGGTACATAAGATTGTATTGTTATATTAGTAATAGAAATAACTTTAGAAAATTGGAAACAACGTATGATTAAAATGAGGGATAAAATAGTTAGTGTAATTTAGTGAAATGTTTGTGAATAAAATAAGTGAAATAAAATAAATGAGAAAATTGAATTAGGAAGGAACGGGAACATTTTAATTAGTTAATGTTTTATAAAATATAAGTGAATGGGGGGAATTAACTATGGAAAGCTTATAATTGTTCCCATAGAAGTATGATATTTAATTGAAAAGTAATGTTAAAGATGTTAAGACTTTAATGAATATTAATATTAATGATATAATTGAATTGGAATGGAATGTTGTTTTAATTATATATATTTATAATTTTTTTCTTTTTTTAAGAATACAGTGTGTATTTTAAGAATGTACCAAGCAGAATCCGAATGGAAGTTATGTATTATATTGAATGTTACAACTTTAGGGAAAAGATATAAAGGCGTCAGTCATACTCCAATCAGTAACTACAGGAGAAATTTTGTTTAATGAGAAAAGATAATAGATAATTGAAACAGGACAGACAAAAAATATAAATACAATGATTTGAATTGAGATGAGATAATTAAAATAAAATTGAGAAAATTAAAAGAGGGGAGAAGCTATGCAGAAAATGTAAAATAGTAATAAGATATGGAATAGAATATAAAAATGAGCATGAACCTGAATTTGTGTCTGTACGAAGAAATGTAACCCGGGATTACGCTACTTTAAAAAAAGATGTTTTATTTGTTTTGTTTTTTTCTCTTTGTGAAAACTCAAATAAAATTTACACACACACACAAAAAAAAGAAAGTTCAAAACATTCTCAAAGATCCATCTCATCCTGGGAACCCTTTTTTTGAACTATTACCATCTGGCAGACAGTACAGAATAATAAAAACAAGGACAACTAGGCTGAAAAACAGCTTCTATCCCAGGGCAGTAGCTCTTTTGAATTCTGCTGTATAGTGCAGTGTTGGTGTGGTGTCGGGGGTTTTCGGTTCAATGTGTGAAGGGTGAAGGATGTGTGTTTGTGTTTATTTTCATGGTCATGGTCATGATGTGCACTGAAGATGGTGTTTGATTTCGTTGTACGAGGTGCAATGACAATAAATTAAACTAAACTAAAGTAAACTTTATGTAGCTAATCTGTGTTAGGAATACAAGTCACCTAACAGGTATTTGGGTTAGAAATATATAAACCAGGATAAACATTTTAAAACTGTATCTTTAAGAAAATGCAAAACTGTAATTAGGTGTGGTTTCTCAAACGACCATAAGATGGAGCCAGAAACCTGGGTTGTTTGGTCTGAGTCTCAGAAGAGAGCATGAGTGTATCTCTGTTTCCTTCTGTTGGAAAGTATTGCCGTTCCTCCATTTTTCCTAATTGACTGATATTGCTGGATTTAATGTAAGTCTGTTACTGAACTGTTTTTGACACTGGACTTTGTTACTGGATTATCCCTGGATTGAAAACTGACTGATTTACTTGTGATTGACTTTGGATTGCTTATTTTGGATTTTGCTTTAAACCTTTCTGGAAGTAAAAACCTACATTTAATGTACAGTGTATCTGTGTGCTATTTGTGTATTATTCAAACACTACTCTCAAATACATCTCCCTGTATGCACTCATTCTCCTAATGGGGAATTACCTCAACAATCTGGCACTGCCAAGATGTTTTGGGAAACACTGAGGTGTTTGGGCTGGTGAAATTCCATTCTCAGGGTAAACACCTTGAAAATGCTAGCACCCCAGTACGAACCAGAATCCAAAACACTCTGTTCTTCCTCATTTGTCAATTTCCCCTCCTAATTTCCCATCATAAGGTATACAGAATTTTTGCCCATTTGTTCCCACTTCCCTTCCTTGATTGATGGCAGAATGTCAACAAGGCACCAAGCTGAAGGTGGTGGATCTGACATGCTGCCCCCCCCCTTGACAAGTACATCAGTCCTATAAAACAAATGAAAAGACACAAGAGATAGAGAGAGAAACAAAGTAGATGTATGGTTAGATAACTGAGTTATTTTGGTTTATCACAATATTGATTATGGAAGTATTTGAGGAGTTTGGCTGCTTTAAGCTGCTTAACCCATTCAGTTTTGGAGGGAGGAAAATCTTTCCATGCAACTAAATACTGGAGTTTTCCTTGGTTTTTATGAGAATCAAAAATGTCCTTAATTTCAAAATGTTGTTCCACCTCAATCACGAGTGGCTCAGATGCCAGAGGCAGCATTGGGTGCAGAGGGGACAGATTTTCCAACTTTAGTACACTACAATGGAAAATTGGGTGAATGTGCCTAAGGGATTTCAGCAGTTTGAGTTCAACTGTGACTGGGTTCATGATCCTTTTGATGGGGAAAGTGTCCATGTATTTAGGTTCCAGTTTTTTGGAAGGCTGTCTGGACTGCAGGTATTTTGTGGAGAGGAGATCCGGTTCCCTATTTTAAAGTCTTTTGGCTTTGTCCATTTTTTATCTGCATGTTTTTTATAAGTCTCTCTTGCTTCCTCCAATGGTTTTCTGACCACCAGCCAGGAATTATTCAGCTGAGCAACCTAGTCCTTTAACAAAATAATGCAGTGGGAGGGTGGGTGCGTGTGGTCTCCAGGTTGACCACAATTGCAGATTCTGCTTAATGTCGGACCAGCCGCAGTGTGATCCCTTAGGGAAGTAAAATCTCAAGTCCATTTGGTTGAAGTGAAAAGGCACTTTTAGTAAGAGATGCTGATTGCATTAGAGTCAAGCGGCATCTAAAGTTCCTGCGCACCAATACAGAACTAATTCTTTGGTCCTCCCTAGACCTCCCCCGATGGTCCATCCATGTGTAGCCAATCTGGCACTGCCAAGAACCAGATTCCAAACCGCTCTGTTCTTCCTCAACTGTCAGTCCACCCCCCCAATTTTTCATCATAAAGGTATACAGCTTTATTGCCCATTTGTTCCCTCCGCCCTTCCCTGATTGATGGCAGAATGCTAGCAAGGCACCAAGCTGAAGGTGGTGGATGTGACAACATCTGTTCCCACCCCATCACATGTGAAGGAGAGTGATAGGTTAGCTGTTTTTCCTGCTGGCAGGCAACATGTGGAGAGAGGGTAAATAAAACTGGGGGAGCCATCATTTCCTTTCCTTAATTGTACATATTGAAACTATAAAGATAAGACCCCTCTTGAACCTGATTACTATAGCAGAATGGGGTTTTGCTGGCAGGATAGCAGATTTTATGATGGCATATTTTTCTGCCAGCTAAAGGACTAGTGGGTTGCACTTTCCTGTGGCCAGCTGCCTGTGTCCATAATTTAAGAGCACACAGAAATTGCCCTAAAAGTACTCTGGGTTAAGAAAATGGGATGGAGAAACCATTATGCAGAATGTGAGAAGTTTTGCATCAAAACATAAGGATGTGTAGATGTGGATCAAGTTAATTAAATAACCCAGACAACATCATGTTTATTAAGCACTAACAAAATGTAAACAACAGGAAATCAATTTTTTTTTAAATGTAAGGATGTGTAGGTGTGAGCCAAGTTTGGGTCTGAAGACTTAATTTGGAATTGAGATTGTCAGCATTCCTCTGAATTACTATGTCTTTTGCACAGCTGACTCCTCATTCTTTGTGTTTCAGGCACACTGAGAAACAGAAACTAGGGTTTGTGCCCCCACAGGATCTGGGCAAGTATAGTCCTCTGATCAAGAGCCAGTCTATGACTAGCATCCAAAAGAACAGAAGCAAAGAAGAAGCCCTGACCCCTTTACATCAAACCAAAAGCAGGAGCAAAGTGCAGCGTACTCAGAGTGTCCCAACCCAGACTAAGGCATCTCGACGTCTCCACAAGCAGAGTAGCATAGAGCAAGTGGTTGACAGTCAGGACAGCAACCCTCAACCTTATGACTCCTCTCCATGCAATAGTGGCAGGCACAAGGCATCTCAGGTAAGCAGAGTTTAGGAGAGGTTTGCTCAACTACTATATTAAAATGTGGTCTTGATGGCCCACAACTCCCTTTCATCCAGTTTCAATTTCATGGAAAGCTGTTATAACAGAAAGGAAAAGCTTTTCCATAAGGAGGCCAGGCAGACCCTCCCTTCCCCCCCTCCCTCCCCCCCCTCTCTCCAATTCGACAGCGAAGACATGTTCAAGTCCACCATTCAGACTTTCTCAACATTTCTTCATCTGAGCTCTAAAACCTGGGAGGTTTTCTTATCATCCTCCTTGTTTTTCAGCATGGAGGCTCTATTTAAAGGACATTTTGTATTGCAGGTGGATTAAAGTATTTCCATGTCTCTGTAATTAGTCTCTGATTCTTGGTCTCTTCAAACTCACCAAATAATGTTCTTCTGCTTTAGGGATGCTCAAAGCTCCACCCATCTGTATCGCTGCCTCAGAAACCATCAGTCCCTTGGTTACGACATTCAGAGGATGCATCAGCAATGCAAAATTGCCCATACTCCATGCAACCCCTGGAACAGGTATAGGAGGAATGTCCTAGAGGAGTACCAACATGCTTAGTTTTCTGTTAATCTATTCCTAATTAAAAATCCACCGGGGGAAAAAATGATGGAAAAGAATGCATGCATCTAGCAAAATTAACTTTTTAAAAAGTGATATCATTCCATAAATATAATGAATGACTATTTATTTATTTATCCAATTGATATAGCCACCCATCTCACCAATATTATTCTTAGTGACTTATCTTCATTGGGGATGCTTGGTCAATGAGCCTTAGATTTGACAGGTCAATAGCCACTTAAACTTAAAGAAGTTTAAGAAATGGAAATCTGTTGCATGTTAATTTTCCTGAAAGAGACTGCATCAGCCTAAGATACAGTTCTCCTGCTTTGGGGATCACACTTTTAGCTGTTTACATTTCCCAGTTCTTCACATATTTTTCTGTTGTTAGGAATCATAGCAATAACAAACTTATGTCCAAGCATAGCGAGAGAGAGCCATTCTAATTTACTAGGGAAACTTCACACAAAGCAATGTCTAGAATGTAACCCTGCAAATCTTTCCTTTAACTGGGGGAAGATGAGACTAGGAAAGAAAATCCTCAAAGCTGCAATTTTATAGTGGGTCAACACAGTCTAAATATGTAGCTCCAGCAAAATGTATTACTGAAGTTATCTTGTCAACTGAATCCAGTACTTTCTCAAGACTTAAGACATAATTGCAGTCTTCCCCAATTATGATGAGAAGAGACTAAAGCATCCCCTTATCCAGCTTTTCTCTGTTCTTGCATAGTTTCCCCTCATTCTCTTAATCTTGAGCCCTTGCACAGTCTTGAGCCCAGGGGTACTCTAAGCTTCATTACTGACCCTACCCTCTGCCCCCCTCCCTAGTATGCAAGGCAGATGGAAGTGCTACAAATGAAGCTGAGTTCAGCCAGAGACAAGCAGCAGCTCCTGGAGGATCAGGTGAAGTCATTGTCTGCCCAGAATCAAGCACTGCTGCAGGAACAGGCCAGATTTCAAGAACGAGAAGAGATTCTTGGCAAGAGGCTAGAAGAGACAGAACTTTGCTTGGTACAACTCAGCAGCAGGTAGGAGAAGCCAGTAACAGGAGCCAGAGGCACATGCTGTCAAATGTGGTGGGGGTGGCGGGACTGCTAGCCCCAATAGGAATTTTCATTCCATTCAATGTCTAAGTTCCTGTTTATTAGGCAATGCAAATCCCATGGCAGGGGATAAGGAAGAGAACAATCCAAGTTTCCTGTTCCAGGAATCCAGCAGGGCATCGTTGGGGCCCAATCCATTTATGCCAAAGAGCCTAGCAGGAAGTAAAAAGCGGTTGGGGCTGATGAAGTGAAGTAAGCATCTATGGACTGATCTTTCCTGGCATTTCCCATGGCAAGGCCAGCAGGTCTGAGCTACAATCTACTGCTGAAGTCTTCTGCTGGGCTGAAGAACAAACAAACAGGGCAGTACAATCCTTGAAGTGGAAAACACAGTTTGATGAAGTATCTAATTGGCTATGCCACTGAGAATAATTCTTATATAGACTGAACATCTGGAAAGTTTCAGATTGTGGAAAAGGTATCATTTACACAGAAAGTGAAAAGGCTAATGTGAACTTCTCTTTGTTATTCTAACTTTGATTTGCTATCAGTTTGCTTTTTTATTCTGTCTTTTATCATCCCTCAAATTGTTGCCAAGGGAATCTTGAGGGTCAATGGATAACTAGCAGGGAATGGGGAGAAGGGTTGAAACTACAACCGATCTGTGGTGAGATCTGAAGGAGACTTGACTGCTGTGTTTTTCCAGGATGTCCTGCATAGAGGCCAGCTGGAAGAAGGATCATGAAAAGCTGCAAGTGAGTGAGGAGAAGGCCAAACAACTGGTAAGATCCCACCAGAGGCAATGTGTATCAAATGAGATCCAATCTATGCAAAGGCCATTGAAAGTGTTGTGTAAATAACAGAAAGACAGTTCTGAATTATGAACAATAGGCAGAAAAACCAACACAGAGCTAGCTAAGATCCCACCTGGATGGCAGCATTGGGGAAGCGGAGGTGTCAAAAAAGAGAAGATGGCAGTTAGGGCAAACAATGCAAACCCCACCCCTTTTGTATGTGCATTGACACTGCATGCAGATACAGAAGGGGTGGGGTTTGCACCGTGGCATCCACCCTGTTGCTTCATTTGACCGTTTACTGTCAGATGCCATTATGCATTCCAGGGAGAACTTCAATAGGACAATGCTTCTGTGCCTGAGTTTATACTTGACTTCTTCATACTACTAAGCCTTTTATGCTCACAGAGGTGGCAACCCTATTTCCTGGGGATTAGGGTTGGGGCTAGGGTCTATATTTGCTTTAGATTAAGAAATGGTGTAGCATGACTGACTCTCTCAAGCATGTGTCTTGTAGGATTTGCAGTTCTCCACAATGGAAAGGGACCATGACCAGCTTTTCTGTACTGTTAGCCAGATGCTGGGGTATCGAGATAACCAATCACATTACGGCAACAACTCTCAGGGCTTGTGTGGATAATAAGACTGAGAATGGGAAAGCCATGTTTCCCACACAGCTCTTGTATGGAATCCAGAGAAGTCAAGAGGATGGGAAAACGTGCCTTCCACTAATAAGGACAGCATCATGTTAAGAGTTCTCAACAGTATTCAGCCATTGCTGCAGCTTCCAATCCATGTCTACCTGAACGTTTATTCACACACATTCCATCCTCCAGCTTAAAGATACCCCATTTACTGTTTTCTGGGTACATATGCTCACTGCAGAGCTGCCTTGGCTTGAAAATGTTTTCCCGGAGAAAATGGAAGAATATCTCCCTTCCAGATCATTCCCAACCTATGGATGAAGAGACTCCAGAACTTGGAAATATGTGGCTCTTCCAGTTGGCTATATGACTCTATATATCCATAGTTGTTGGTACTATGGCTGCCAGAAAGGCCAGACACCTTTATTGTGCACTTCTTTTCAGTGCTTGTGGCTTGGTCAGGGAAATAGTTTTCCCTTACCTCTAATAGGCCAAATGAGGGCTTTCAGTGAGTTGATAATTCTGTTGCTATGTAGGTTTCTTTAATGTAGCTTTGCTCTTTCCTTTCCTCCCCACTTCCTTCTCCCCCCAGCATACTCTTTTGTGACAGTGAATACTCCAATCCCAAAGCCCCAAGTGTTAGTGGTTTACAGTTGAGAATGAGGTGGGGGAGGAGGACTTTCCCTTCTGTACAGTCAGGTGGTTTCAGGCGCTGGGGGGAGGGGGAGACTGATGTTCCTTTCCATGCTACTTCCTTCTCAGCTGCTTGGAACTGAAGGAAGAGGTGCAACCCTGCTACACCATTTCTCCTGCCCTGCAGGGTGCTGCAAGATAAGGCAAGTGTGTGCTGTAAAGGATGCACTTTCCATTGTTGTGCTCTGTATCAAGCAGGGGTGATGAAAGTGACACACTACGAGGGTAAAAACAGAAAACTTACAGCAACCTGTGCAATTTTTCCTGAAGCAACTTTAGCAATAGTTGGATGAAGAGATGCCTTCCCTAGGTCTTGTCAAGTTCACCATCTCTTACCAGCCCAACTTCCCACATGCTTTTCTCTTGCATGGATAGTTGGTCAAAGTATATTACCAGCTTGCAGTCTAGAGCTCTGTTCTGCTGCTAATGGGTTCCACCTCTCCAAATAGCCCAATAAACTGCCTGAAAAACAACACTACCAGCCTCCATCCTGAGGTTTGGTGAAAGGCAGATTCTGGTGCAGTGACTGTTCCACCAGCATATATTCCACTGGTAGTGAGGAAGCTCATCAAGTGTGGCTGTGCAGACAAGACCTGTGATTGCATCCCTGTTTTTGTTGTCTAAGGGCATATAAAGGTCAGTCTTGCAAATTTTAGGCAATAATTGCTTCTATGCCCAGAAAAATCTCAAGCAAACACGAAAGAGAGTGTCCTGTGGGCTATTTTTTTTCTTGCTTTATCTATAAAAGGTGCAAAGAGCTGCCTTCTTCCACAGAAAATTCTGACAATTTCTTTATCCTGCCTTTGAAGCCCATCTGAGCCAGGTGATGTGAGGAGTGGGGCTTAATGAAATGTTATTACCTACCCTGGGATGCCCAGTACCTGTTGTTATGGTCTGCCACCATCCTGCTGCACCATGCACCAAAGAAGAAGGCTCTTCACCCGTCCCAAGCAGGCTGATCACCTGGTTGATGCATATGGCCAGCTGACCCCAGGGCAAGTATAGCCATTTCTGAGAGCATGAATGCATCGTGTTGTCTTCCCTCTGCTCACTTTCCTCTAGGAAAGCCACCTCCACCTATTCTTTTTCTGCTATGTGTCACAAAGTAGCCTTTTTTCACTTGTGCTGGTTCAAGAGATGCTACCTGCTGTGCTTCATTTCATTCTTGTCAAAGCGTCCTGCCCATTTAACTCCTGGGCACAGAGCAAGAACACCTCGTCCCCTGGTCACTGTCCTCCATGACAGTGCTTTCATAATGGTGCCATTGGTATGGAGAAAATTTGGGTTTTTTTAAATAGTATATTGATGAAAAAATAAAATGCCAGCTTTTTTGTTTATTTGCTTTTAATCAGATGAAATTGACCGTCTTTCTGCCCTTTCCCCTCCAAGCCCCACAGCCTTTTCTTTTTCTTAAAAATTTTCCCATATTGGATTTCTCCAATCGGACTGTGGGAATACCAGATGGCCATGACCAAAATAGAGGAAGGGGTCTGAAATCCCCAGAAAGGGATTTCCTAAGCCACCTTTAGTTCCACCTGGTTTACTCATGGGAAAAAAGCAGCTCAATGATGCAGTGCAGAAAAGCCCTGAAATGGTATACTGTACAAATGGTATCAGCATAGAAAATTATGAAAAAATTGACTTGGTTCTTATAACTTCAGAGAGATGGAACAGAAAGTTTACAGCAAAATATGGGCTGAAGTAGGATTCAGATTGTTGTTGTTTTTTTAAAGAATTTTTTATTTTAGACAAACATACACAAACAAAACATAAAGCACAAAACCATCCTCACTTATAGTTTGTATAAATTCTCATATTATCAATCTAGCATATATGTATACTTTTTTCAGTGCCATTGTAACTTTGAATGGTCACTCCACACAAGCAAAGTACCAGCAAAGGGGGGGGGGAAACTCCAGAGAAGTTCCAGAGACAGGAAGTCTAATCCTGCCAAGAATGTAAAAAGGGTTAACGGAGAGGCAGTTTCTGTAAGCAACACCAGAATGTTTCCTTCCTGCCTTCCTTACAGGATTAGGCCAGTAATTTCTTCTAACAACTGGTTCTCCGAACTGCTTAGCATGTTAACAACCAGTTCTAGCAAATAGGTGTGAATGGGTAGAATCCCACCCCTGCCATACCTTATAAAATTGTTTATCTTCTTGTTCTCTAATTTCAAATGTCAATTTACTCATTTCGGCACATTCCATTATTTTTTTGATAACTTCCTTCTGCATTGGTATTTTCTCGTTTTTCCAATTTTTAGCAAATACAATTCTAGCCACTGTTAATGCATTTACAATCAAGTATTTCAATTCTCTACTGTATATTTCCGGTAAAATCCCCAATAAAAATATATCTGGTTTAAAGTCTATATGTTTTTTTGTCATTTTTCCCAAACGTGTGGATTTTAGTCCAGTATCTTTTAGCTTCTGCACACGTCCACCACATTTGGTAATATGAACCCAGTATCTGATGACATTTCCAACATTTTTCGGATTTATTCTTAAACATTCTTGCTATTTTCGTTGGGGGCAGGTGCCACCTGTAAAAGATCTTATACAAATTTTCTTTATATGCTGTTGACATTGTCATTTTGTAATTTTGAGACCACAATTTTTGCCATTTCTCTAAATCAATCCCATATCCAGAATTTTCCCCCCAAGCAATCATCATTTCTTTAACTTGCTCTTCTTCTAGCTTAACCTCTAATAAATATCCATATAGTTTTTTAATCACTTTTTCACCAGTACCTGTCAAAATTTTATCTGTCAGTCAATTTATCATAAAAGCCTTCTGTTTTAAGATCTTTGTCATATCTAGAATGTATTTGCACATATGAAAACCAATTCATCCTTATACCTTGTTCTTCTAGTTCTTGCATAGATTTAAGTTCACCCTTTCTATTCAATATTTCACCATATCTAACTGTTTGTTCCTTTTTATATATTATTGGATATGAAAATGCTTCAATAGTTGATAACCAGACTGGAATTTTTAAATAATGTTGCCTTTTAATCTTCTCCCAGTTTAAAAACAAATCCTCTCATATATAATGTCTTCTGAAATACCCCTGTGTTTTACTTCCCTTGTACCATAGAAGGCGTGCCATCCCAAAAACAAATCATGTCCTTCTAATGTCAATAATCTAGTATTTCTTAGCGTTATCCATTCCTTAACCAACATCAAGTTTGTAGCCTGATAGTATAACTCCCAATTAGGCAGGCCAAATCCTTCTCTTGTTCTAGCATTTTGCAACAGTTTTAATTTTATTCTCGCTTACTTTCCCTGCCAAATATACTTCAACACTATTTTATTTAAATCTTCAAAATAATCTTTCCCTAACCTAATTGGAATTATCTGGAACAAGTATAAAATTCTAGGTAATATATTCATCTTAATTGTTGATATTCTCCCTATTAGTGATAGTTGTAAATTTTCCCATTTTGCCAGATCTGTCACAATCTGTTGTTTGAGTTTATCATAATTATTCTCTTTAAGTGTACTGCATCTTGCTGTCAAATGTATCCCCAAATACTTAACCTCATTTCTGCCCTGGATCTTCAAAACTTTCGCCAATTCTTCCTTTTGTCTTGCAAACATATTCTTTATCAAAATCTTCATTTTATCTTTATTTATTTTCAAACTTGCTACTTTTCCATATTCCTCTATCTTTTCTATCAATTTAAGTGCTGTTTCTAATGGCTCCTCCATCTGCAAATGCTTGTAAATTATATTCTTCCTTTTTAATTTTCATGCCTTTTATATCTTTTCCTTCTCTAATATTTCTATTTAACACTTCTAATGTTAACACAAACAACAGAGGTGACAGTGGGCAACCTTGTCTTGTCCCTTTCCTTATATCAATAGAATCTGTCAGTTCCCCCTCTATCATTACTGTTTGTTTATAATATATAGTTTCTATGGCTTGAGTGAATTTCTTACCAAAGCCCATCTCTTCCAGCTGTAATAACATAAATTTCCAGTTCATGTTGTCAAAGGCTTTCTGTGCATCTAAAAATATCAAAGCCATTTGTTTTTCAGGATGTGCCTCAAAGTATTCCAAAGTGTCCAGAATGTTATCTTTATCTTTATCTTCATGTTATCTTTAATTTGTCTCTTTGGAGAAACCCATTTTGATCCGGATGAATAAAGTTATTTAAATATCTTTTAAGTCTTTCTGCCAATATTGAAGTGAAGATTTTATAGTCTGAATTTAGCAGGGAAATAGGTCTATAGTTCTTAATTTGTTGTGGGTCGGTGTCCTCCTTTGGCACAAGTGTGATATATGCTTCTGGCCATGATTTGGGTATCCTCCTCTTTAGCATAACTTCATTCATAACTTCTAACAATGGAAGATTCAACGATTCCTGTAATGTCTTATAAAATTCCACTGG